CGGCTGGGAGTGTAGGGGTGCAGAAGCTCAGAGAGGTAAATTGGGGCAAGGCCATTCAAGGCTTTAAAAGTAAATAAAAGAATTACAGTCAAGTACTGTAGTTATTTTATTTTATGTTTTTTATAAATCTTGAGTATCTGGACAGGATTGTTATCTTCTCTAACTCTTCATAAAGGTAACATTATACTTTTTCTGTCCTGTTGTACCTTTTATAACCTTTTATCTAGGTTTTGGCCAATGAAACGATGAGGCAGTTAGTCCCTTGATAATACCAGGACCACGTGCCAGCTCTGGACAGGGGGATGCACTGTTACATCCTCTGTTCAGTTTGATCAAGATAAGTTCCAGCACTAACAAAAGCAGCCTTGTTTGTTACATAAATCTGAAGCTGTAATACACAACTTGTCCAGAGGACAGAAACCTTGGTTTACTTAAACTCAGTTATTTTATGAGATCCTGCTGCTCTTCCCACTCCCTAAAATGAGATAAATGTGAAATCTTCTGAAGTGCTTTAGTCACTAGAAGGTAATAAGATTGGTAACTTTTTGTTAGAAATCATGAAAAACCTAATGCATCCTACAGCAGATGTAAGGTCCATTCGGTTTTATCCACACATCATCAGGCTGGGTGGTAATGACGACTTTGGGTAAAATTAAACAATGGCTGCTTATGTGTTGTGAATTAATGGGGATATTCTACCCATGTAGCTTTGAAAGTTTTCAGGCTACAAGAAAAATGTAATTCTGTTTATGACTATTTTAAATGACAATTTAATTCTTAAGATTACAGTTAGGAATCAAAGAAAAAAGGTCTCAGTACGAATACATCAAATTATGGCTCTTGGGTACAGATCCTCTCTCCTGTTCCTTCAAATTTTGTGGGGTCGATAGTAAGAAAGCTATTGTGGGTAGTAAGGAAACTCATTACTGTTGAGCTGATTCCAGGCTGCCTTTAGCCGTCTGGATGCTGTGATGTGACCAAAACACACATGAATGATGCTAGTCAAATA